TAAGATGAAATCTGTACGAAGGCTTGCAATGAACTACTGAGAAATTTGGAAGAAAGCACTTTAAACAAACAAAAAACTATAATCATAAAAAATAATACTTAAAAAGAAAAACTGTGATTCAGATCGTCCCTAAAGAGTTCAGAGTTCTTCATTTAGGAACAACAAATTCTTTCTTAACAAGTGAGTCAACCAATAGTGCGCCCACGTTGGATTGAGAAATAGAGACGGTCAACTTCTTTGAATAATCAGATACGAGTGAGATCTGTGACAAGTAACAAAAATAGTACTTAGGTCATTCATTCCGACTACCGAAAGTATCTCGAAATAGACGAATTCCATTCTATTCTGACGATATTGTTACCGATTCCGTTAGATTTCGACCGTCTCTTTGTCTAAGAACACCGATCGAACTTTTCCTAAAAATCTAATCATCATGGAACTTGAATGGAATTAATAACTTTCGACAGAAAACTCTTCGAGAAAGGCATAAATACCTGTTTTCACTGCACTCTGTTATTATTTTGTGTTAAGGGGTTGTTTCTATTAATTACTGAAAATCATCGACATTGATTCAACACAAGGCTATGATCAAAATGCTCAAACATCAAATTTGAAACTGGCTATGTTAGTAATAGTGGAGAGGCAAAAAAAACGTAAAAGAATTACTTACCAATGCTTGTTCGTCGACTTTCTTCAAAAGCGAGGAGTGAAAATGAATCACATCGAAAAAAGCAGAGAGATATTTTTCATTCAACAGAGGAAAGGAAAAATAAATCTGCCATGTGACAAAGAAGAGAGCAGCTGAATCAACATTTTAAGAGTCGAAGTCAGCGAAGAAATCTGGATGTTATCGATGCATGCTTTGCATGTTTACTTTTACGCATTGAAAGCAAAAAAAAATAGCTTTGCATTTCATTCGAATAGGTTTTGTATCCAAGTAGTCAATAATTCGAACTCATTCCATTTTAATAAACACACTTGTGTACCTACGAGTCACTGCACGAGTGAGATGACTGAATGCCAATATAGCTGCTCAATTGATAGTCTCAAATTTTGATAAGAGTTATCCCATTTTGTAGAACAAATTTTATTAGGTATAGAACCAAGTTTTTAGACTTAAAGGTTGAACTTTGACTGAGATATGCTCATTCTACTTACAGCACCCAAAATAGAGTTTTGTTAATATGAGAAATTTTTGATCAATCTCTTGTGTAAACTATTTTGATGCTTTTGTGCAGTGCCTCATAAATGGTTAATAATATGAGAGACTATCAAGTTTTTATAATAATATTCTTGTTAAATGTTAACAAAATAGATTTATCGACATAGTGATATACATAATCTAAAGGTTGACGTGATTTTAATTAACATAAGTCATGTATACACGTATATGTGGGTCTATAGGCAAGACGGATTTTCCAAAAAAAAGGCATTAAAAAAAATGCTAAACTCCTCCTCACAATAAAAGACCCCGAGTCTTCTATTATGTTCGAGCGTATAAAATTTTCAGAGAGGTCATCAATTGTATCGCATTTATTTTAATAATTTTTAATAAAACAAGTTTTCCAGAAAACTAAACTGATATTGAGATTTGGAAAAGAGATTTTAGGGTTTTGAAAGCTTAGAAATAATGCTGACTTCACTTGTTAAGATTTTTAACCAAAACCTGAAACCTAGGTATATTTTAACGCTAATATACTAATCAAAGTTCGAAGTCTCGAAAAATTAATTAATTAAAGGAAGGGCTTCTATTACGTCCAGTACACCGTTCCTCCAAAGAGGTCTTCTATTGTAGGGAAGGATTTACTAAGCAAGGTCAAAATGAGTCATAAAAAATATCATTATTATACATTATGAATAGCAGCCAAATATTTGCTTTGGTGAAATCTATCGATCTATCTAGTTTACTGAAGAATAAATCGAAAAAAAAGGAAGTGATTAAATTCATGATGTAACGAGTCGCAGTCCGTTTTATCCCTCACGCTCCTCTGTTAATTGATGTAAATCGTTTGCCATTGAGTACATCTGCTCTAGAGTTAATCATATGTTGCTCACTTGTACAGTCAATGTCTGTAATAACAACACGAAATAAATAGCTTGTCTTGATTCATTCAGTTCTCAGCCATTTTACATTCGATTGAAAATATTTTTAGATATGCATAATCCTGGAAGTTTTCGCTTTCAAATAATGTACTAACCGTCTTTGTCAGAAACGTAGCGGCGGAGAAATCAGCGGTCTACGATACTGAACTGCTACTGCTAACTTTTGACCCTAATAATAACACTCTAACAGAATTCAAGCAAAAAGGGACTTTTTGAGAAAAAAAATTTCTCACAGTATTTCTTCAAAAAAACAAGCAAATGGCTCCCTGGCATTTTTGTAGAGCGTGTAGAACTCTATCTAGATCCAAAAGTTCATGAGAAATGAATTTTTATTTATCAACAAACGCATCTTGAAAAGCAGATCTTTTACATTGTTTGAAAAACAAATTGTCCCTAATAACGATATTCAGCTATTTTTTGTCCCTAATAAGAACAATCAGTCATTCTTTGGCCCTAATAGCAACACCTAGCTATTTTTGACCCTCATAAAATATTCATCTACTTTTTGTTCTTAATAACAACACCTAGCTAATTTTTGACCGCCAATAACAACAGCCAGTTATTTTTTTGACCCTAGTAACAATATTCAGCTATTTTTGGGCGCGAATAACAACACTGTGTCGAAAAATGATAGAAGGAATGTTAGTATGGTTGGTGATCCTATTCCTTCATATCATATAATTGTCTTGTGATGTTCAATGATACAAGGGATGTTAGTGTTGATGGTGATACACTTTATTCTCTTCCCTCATATCATACAATCGTACCGTTTACATATAAAGCACACGCTTATATACACGAGTAGAATAAGAGAGGATGAAAAGAAAGAAGATGAGGCCAAGGCGAGAACAATGTAAGAATAAAGAGGTGATAAAGCCAAGGAGAAATCACACATAGAAGAACAATAGAGTAAGAACACATAGGTGAGAACAATACATATAATATACGAGTGAATCGTAATATAGAATGAGAAGCACATTACGACACAAAAGAGAATAAGGTTCAATCATGCATAGATAAACGTAAAAGTAACGCGATTATGAACACTACGTATCATTGATTGTACAAGAACACACTGAGAAAGAAAAGATATTACATAAGATAATATGCTCATTGGCACAAACACCTAGCCATTTTTTTTAACTTAATGACGATTTCTCATTCCCAGACTAGTTGCTAAGGTCAAAGACTAGGTGAGTATTGTTATTAGGGCCTAAAAATAGCTGAGTGTTGCTATTAGAGTGAAAAAATAACTGGGTATTGTTGTTAGGGATCAAAAATTAGCTAGGTGTTGTTATTAAGAACAAAAAATAGTTGGATATTTTATTATTGTTCATCAAAACAAAGAGATCGAGAAACAAAGTGAACAAAAATTGAGTTTCATTTGGACATCTCTTCTATTTCTGAATTCAATTGTTCATCATCTTCCTCATTCATTCAGCGCATTTTGAGCCTTTCTATGAAAGCGTCAGGTTTCTTGAATATTTCCTCCATTTCCTCTACGTGATTGAGTTATGCAGCGACTGTGGTTGGCTCCAAAGCTAGCATCCATTTTTATGCTAACTTCTGAACGTCACTTAGGCGAAATTGCACGTTTGTTTCTCGCACGTAATTTTTCAAACCAGCCCAAGCTAGATCGATTGGATTGAGCAAACAGTGCTTCACCGACAAGCTTCAAAGGCGTGTATCAAGATGATAGTTATTGCAAAAGTCTAAAAACTGACCACAAAATTCCGATATTGTATTTATCTGCTGCTTCATCGACAATATAACGTTTTTTGCGTAGATTATTTAGAGCAAGCTCGAGCAATTCTGCCTTCCTTGCCTTGATAGGAATGGCAATATTTTGATGAAAGAGCCATTAAATGATAACTTCTTTGCCCCACGCTCTCTTGGGCGGAATTGTATCGTGAGTGAGACGGTTGTACCAGTGACATTATCGAGCACTAGAATAATTTTTACATTTTTGTCTAAACCTACACATAATACGAGAGGAAACGTAGTAGTATGAATATTATCGAGCTCTCTTGTAAAATTAAGGCCGTACGATCAATCCAAGTCAAAAAATGCCTGGTATTCATGCTATGATCTTCGTCACATTCAATAATGTCAATCAATGAGATGTGAAAATCCGATGTGCTCATTACAGCAGAAATAACAATCCTTTTGCCTAAAAAAACGGAAGTTGCTTAACATTTTAGAAGAAGGTTATTAACACTTTTGTCACTGGTCAGGTGCAGACGACCGATTCCCATATTTGTATCGGTTCACACAAATTGCTTCTGTTCATTCTGATTGCACATTGTTTCATCATGCCAAATGATCATTGTGGGTGTGAGGTGCGAGTGTTGAATGTGGAGTGTAGGGTGGGTGTGGGTGAAGTGAAAATCTACCCAAAGCTACACCCACACCCATCCATACCCCGCATGAAAACACATATAACCATCAGCTTTGTCTACTAAATGCGTTAAATTTGTTTTTATTTTTCTATCTGAATACGTTAAACTATCATTGGAACGTTTACTTGTCTACATGAGATGATTTTCATTATTCGATCAATTATCGAAACAATTTTAAAATCGCTTCTGGAATATGAATACAGGCATCAGCGTTTAAAAATAAATCTATCTTGTGAAGTTGTGACGGCAGGATTTTATTTTTATTCCATAGAGTTCTATATAAACTATTGTGTACATCTCAAACGATATAAGAAAATCATGTTCTAGGCGGCAATTTTTAAAACTAAAATGCGATTCCCATTTATAAATCTTTCTTGTATACAAATTAGTATAAAACAAATAAGTTGCTTTAACTCTACTATATTATTTATATTAATTTCTCTAAGCATTCTAAACATATTCTTTGTCACTGTAAAAAAAAAGCATTAATGAACAAAATTAATTTCCTATTTTATTCTTCAATACCCAACCTTCCCATACCATTCTGTAGTGATATTTGATTTCATGAGTTCTTTCTAATGCTTGTTCGATTTGACAATAGATACATGACGATTCAGTTACAAGTCGCATATGTGAACCAAATTGTATTATTCGAAAATATTGTGTGAGATCATTGAGGATAAGTGCAGGTAGAATTTCAAATTCACATCCTTCACAATTGACACTGATCATATCGATTATTCCATTTTGTGTTCTTGTTTTCCTAATATTCTCAATGACTTGAACGACATCAAGCAATTCAATTTGTTGGATTTTTGCTGAAATTTTAGCAGATACTTTTCGAAAAATACTGGTACCAACATTTGAAGTGTCAAATGGTTCAATCGATAGATTTCTTGCCCGATTACCAAGTCCAAAGGGTTGAATTTCAACTTTTCGATTTGTTTTAAATTTTTCGATCAAATCTTTCGCCATCGGTACTAATGGTTCAAAGCTAATGATCGAAGAATTATATAATTGAATAAATTTCGATGTGTCATGTCCAATATTTCCGCCAACTTCAATAATCAGTGAGGACGAATTTAATAAATGTTTAAAAGATGTATGACGTATTCCTGAAACAGGCCAAAATGCGTTATTTAGAGTCCATTTTAAACATTGTTTATATTTCTGAATATCAATATAGGAAAATTTCTTCCATGTTTCACAAGTAAAATTTTCATAGACAATATTTGTTCTTGAAATAAATGAATACGTAGTTAATCTCTGAATATATTCATTTGGTTTTAGAAATAGTAGTATCGAAAAGCAAATTAGGCCAATGATTAATAAACAAATATATTTGTTACATGAGACCATTTAAGTATTGGAATATTTTCTAAAAGAGAATTATGTTAAACAAAAAACTGAGGAGAAATTTCCTAAGATAAATATTTCCATTGGTTGAATAATATCAAGTCAAATATTTTTAATGTCTTTACTTATAACTAACACTATACTGAAGTTTGGCACAGTAACACCAGCCAAAACTTTTGGAATTCGGTCACTCATACACTACCTCTACAATAGACATAACCAATTAAAACTACTAAGGACAAAACGACTGCGAATCGTATTTTTGATTTACAATATAGATTTTACGGTCAAAAGGGCTTCTCTTGAATATATATGAATAGCACAAGTATAGATGTTTATAATAGAAATGAATGTTTGATATGAAGATACAAAGTGTTGATATGCTGTCTAAGTTTTTTGTTAATACTTTTATCTGCAAATACACAAAAATTGAATGGATTCTCATATATTTCTGACAGAGTCAGACGTTATACAAGTATTCAATTCAAGCAATGGCGTGAACAATATAATACAGAAATATATGAATGGCTAGGTTTTAGTCCTGATTTTAACGATATCGAACCAGTCGGAAACATTATCAAAGACAAATTAAAAACAACAATCTAAAGTCGCAACATCAACTAGAGAATGCGGTTGACGAAGCTTGCAGCGACCTCTCATTCAATATTGCTCAAGCATGCACTAAACAGGCTCACATCAGACAGTTTATCGATATTTCGTATCTTTATATTAAACTTTTATTTGTACGCTAAATGTCTACACTTTTACTATTCAAATATATCCAAGAAAACGCCTTCTAACCGTAGACTATATTTTGAGATCTATCCCAGTTCTGAGAGTTCTGAACTCTAGAATCCTAAAAAGGACGGTCATGCGGCGAATCACACAAATAAAATACAAGTAAGAACTCTAAGAACTCATGGAACAGTTCTAATTCTGGCAACAGACCTATCCTAACTTTTGAAACCAAACTCATTCTTTGAAGCTTCACTGAACCATGAACTTTAAACAACTGCAGTAGTATCATGCATTCAGTATTTTGAAATCATAAAAATATCAGGGCAGATGTCAAATATACAGGGTGTCTCAGAAATAACCTACCAAAAGTTTTTTCGAATATCATCGCTATTGTGTTTAATTTTACCAACAATTCTTTTTCAAATTATAAATGAATATACCAAGTTTTTATTTATCCGCACGAACTTCCATATTATTGTGGGTGTAGAGTGTGGGTGTGAATGTGGATGTCAATGTGGGTGTGGGTGTGAATATGCGTGTGCGCGTGCGTGAGGGTGTGGATGTCGGGTGTGGCTAAGGAGAGCAATAAAAAGTAAACCAAAACGCGATCCACCACGAACTGTTCGAACGAAGCAATTCAAGAAAGAAGTAAAACGATTGATACATTTAAAAATGGGACAAAGTCGAAGAAAAGTGGTGCTTGATTTACAATGTAACAACATTCAAACTAAAAGAATATCGGTGCAAAGAATAATTAAGGAATTAAATTTGAAACCATTTATACTTACAAAAGCTCAAAAATTAACAACAGCAAATAAAGAGTGACGTGTTGGATGGGCAAAAAGATTAATTAGATAGAAAATTGGGTTCAAGAAAAACTGATTCAAAGTGGCAATGGACTAAAATTATTAATACTGTTTTTCCAGGAATATTTACAATTGAACGTTTTCACAATA